TCACAACAAATATGAGAAAGCAATGCATAGAGTTCAGGGCTTAGAGCTCAAGACACAGACCTTCCATGGACTCTCAGGCTCCATGAAAGGCCAAGGTTAATATGTTGGGCAGCTGTCCATGATAACCAAAGTAACAACAAACACAAGTACCAGCCTTCCCTACCCCTCATGCCTCTAGCAGCAAGCATGCTTATTATTCCCATTTTACAGAGAAAACAGGGGGGCACAGAGAGGGTAAATAACATGACCAAAGTCACATGGTCAGTGAGTTAGAGCAAAGCCAGGATGTGCACCCAGCAGCCTGACTCTCAATTATTTCACTCCTCTGCTTCTGGAGAATGCAATAATCAGAGGAAGCAAAGGACTGAGCCAGTGTTAGAAAATCAGAGCAGTGCCCTCAAGCAAAGTCTAACTTATAGTAAAAAGATCGGAGCTCTCTGGCAGCATTTAGGGGGCCCTGGGGACAAAGTTCCCCTAGTCTCCAGCAGCGCTTGCCACCTCTGTTCTTTTGTATGTACTTCTGACATTTTCTCAATCATAAAGGAATAAATCCCCTTTTCAACTTAAAAAACTGCACAATATGAGAGTTTCAAGTTAAGTTTTATTTGGGGCAAAATGAGGACTATAGCCTAGGAGATAGCACTTCAAATAGCTCTGAGAAACTGAGGTAGAGATTACTAGGCAGTCAGTGTAGAACTCTGAGACCTCCGTCTTGTTTTCAGTAAACATTCAGCTCCATTGTCCTGAATTCCTGGAATGTGTGTTTAGTCAGATCCAGGGAAGGGCAGTAATTAAATTCTGTTCCATATGCTTGAGGGTAAAACAACTGATGATCATTAATCTTAAACCATACATCTAGTCCATGGTAAAATGGCCAGAGGGCATGAAAAAGGGTGGTGACTTAATCCAAAGATCAAGAGAAGCCATAAAGATATTAACTATCTTGACCTTTAAATTGATTGGTTAGAAATAATGTGATTTAAGGAAGGATATAAAAACTGATGTAAGACCCACCTTGGGGTGACTTTTTACCCCCTCTCAGTGTCTATACTGAGGGCTTTGTACTTTCCTCCTCTTTAATAAATCCTCTTCGCTTGCTTCTGTGAGTGTTTGCATGTTCCTGGATTCCATTTTTCGGCTCCATGGACGAGAACTCGGATTCTCCTCTCAAAACTGCTCCAAAGGAGTAGGGGGAAGGACAGTATACATGTGATTTTGGTGAAGGGGGAATACATGCAATCAAGCACATATTTTTTTACGGAAGGTTTCTGCTAGTCACGAGGAGCAGCCACCATCATGAAGGATTTTAGTGCTTTTCTAGATATGAGCAGATACAAGAATTGGCTCATAAAATTGGCTTCTCAAAATGTCTAACTATCTGAAGACCTGTTCTGCCAGTTTTCAGAGCATGGAGTGCCTCATTTCTGCTCTCCATCTTGAGCTCCTTTCAGGGGGCATTGAAAATCAGTAACTGCAGCAGCACATTATTTAATCCTTTAGAGGTAGATGGCAAGTGCCCATGTCAAGTGCCAACTTATAGCTGACACCCTTGTAATCCCACTCTCTCTCTCCTTCAGATCCTATAGCCATCTCTAAGCACCTCCTCTGCAGAAATTCTGGTCCTGCCACCACTTAGGTATATGACCTTACATTCCCTGAGTCCCAGTCAGCTCATCTGAAAACTGGGCTTATACACCACCTTTATAAGCCAAGAGGATTAAATGTGTACATGAAAGTGTTGCTCAAAGTTTAGGGTAGGGGACTCCCCTGGCAGTCCAGTGGTTAAGACTACACACTTCCTCTGCAGGGGGCATGTGTTGGATCCCTGGTTGGGGAACTAGGTGCCATATGCTACGCAGCCAAAAATAAACAAATAGATAGATAAAAGAAAGTTTAGGGTAAAAATCATTTTTTTTTCAATGAGGAGAGGGAGAGAAGTGGGAGAATGAGGGGAAACACAATTTATCCTGAAATTAGGGTCTGAATTCAAAAACAGCCTTAGACTTCAAGCAGCATTAGACCCTGCTTTGGGAACTATGCTTTAGAGAAAGAATTGCAAGCTTTTCCATAAAAGGCTAGATTTCACATTTTAGGCTTTGTAGGCCATCCTGAGGGCTTGCCATGTGGCGCTAGTGGTAAAGAACCCACCTGCCAGTGCTGGCAGGATAAGAGATGTGTGTTCGATCCCTGGGTTGGGAAAATCTCCTGGAGGAGGGCATGGCAACCCACTCCAGTATTCTTGCCTGGAGAAACCCATGGACAGAGGAGCCTGGTGGGTTACAATCCATAGGGTTGCAAAGAGTCGGACATGACAGAAGTGACTTAGCATGCACAGACACAGAATCTGTGTAGCAGCTTCTCAACCCTGCCCTTGTGGAGAGGAAGCAGCCATAGACAATATGTAAACAAATTAGGTGGAGCTGTGTTCCCATAAAAGTTTATTCACAGAAGCAAGCAGTGGTTAGATTTGACCCATCGGCCACAGTTTGCTACTCCCTGCTTTTGGTGTTTCCACTCTGGTCTTCCTCCAGCTGCAGCCTTCATCATGAGGTGAGGAGATGGCAGGGCTAAGGGCACATCCTTAGCCCTGGAGCCCACACCCCTGCTGTTTTAAACCCTAATCCAGATACCCAGGGTTCCTGCACAAGCAGCCAAACAGCCTGTTCCCGCTTTCAGGTCCTGTGCAGTCCTTTTCCCTGTTCACTCATCCTGAGTGTGGCCCACAAGGCTGGTGTGAAACACTTACCAGAGGATCTGGGTGTGCATGTGTGTGCGCACACGCTGGGGTGGAGTGAAGACAAACTTTGGATGCAAAAGTCAAGATGTCTATGTTGCAAGAAGGGGGACCCCTTCCAGAGCCCAAGAGTGTATTCTTGTCTAACACTCAGAAAGGAATCATCCAAGGGGACACATGTTCTGACAAAGCAAGGGACTTTATTGGAAAAAGGCACCCAGGCAGAGAGCAGGAAGGTAAGGGGAACCCAGCAGGGCTGCTCTACCACATGTCCCTCAGTCTCGGGTTTTATGGGGATGGGGTTAGTTTCTGGCTTGTTTCCAGCCACTCCCTCTGAATCAGGGTGCTTCTTGGTGGCACATGCATTGCTCAGCCAAGATGGATTTCAGTGAAGGTTCTGGGAGGTGGTAGGACACATGGAGTCTCCTTTTGAGTTTTCTTGAATTCGTCCAGTTGGTGATGGCTTGTTAGTTCCATGTTCCTTACCAGGACCTCCTGTTGTAAAATAACTCATGCAAATGGTTACTATAGTGCCTGGCAGGGTGGGCAGTTTCAGTCATTGTTTCCCCTAACAACTTCCCCTTCCATCAACATCTGCCAGTGTGTATGTGAGGTCCTTGCCCTCTGAGTCAGGGCTTTAGATGGGAAGGGAAAGGGGCTACCAGTGGGCTGGAAACCAAGGCCACAAGCTGCTGCATTTTGGCACAAAATTTTGAGGAGTCTGGGAATTCTAAATTCAAACCTGGTCTTTTGGGTCATTGCAAAATCATATTCGTTAAGGGTATAAATCATATTTTAACCCTTGGCTGTTAAACATTTAGACATATGATATGCAGGCCTACACTTGTACTTGTGGGAGAGGACAGCCTTATACCACAAGGTCCAAGATTGCACAAGGAGGCCACACTGGCTGGAACAAAATGCTTTTTCTTTATTGTGCCTCAAGGGAACCAGTCAGCAGCTGCAGGAGAACAAAGCCAGACCCAGTCTGAGGTCTGAGAGAAAGTCAAGGGGAGACATGGAGAAGAGACATCCTGAGGGCCTCATCTAACCTCTAAGAATCCCTCACATGAATTCCTGCAGCAGGAGTATGCAGCAAGGTCACCTTACCTACTTAGCTATGAGTTAAGCCTGGAAACAAAAGAAAGCATTTCAAAGCCCAATCAGTAACATAAGGCCTCATTCAAGTTACTAAGACATAGATGTTCAGAGTTGAAAGGCTGCTGCCCAATCATATAGTTTAGGAAATTTTGCACTGCTCTGGGCCCTTCTCCTGGACAATACGGCCAGTCCTCTCCAGTTGTCTGTCTGCAGTGATTTCCAGCGTCCTGCTCCTCCACTGAGATGATGTCAGCACACTGGGTTGGTCAGCCACACTCTCAGCTGCACAGGAAGATACAGGATTTGCTTACAGAGCCCAGGACCCAGGGATGGAGTAGCAGCCAAATCACCTGCTGCTAAAGCAATAATGGGCATGGTCATCAATAATGACCATGAGACCTCCTGACTGTCCAGACTAAAGCAAGATCTAGAGAATGGACTTGTGGACACAACAGAGGAAGGAGAGAGTGGGACAAATAGAGCAAGTAACATAGACATATGTACACTATCATGTGTGAGATAGATAACTGATGAGAAGCTGCTGTATTACACAGGGAACCCAGCCAGGCACTCTGCGACAACTTAGAGGAGTGGGCTGGGGTGAGGGGAGGGAGACGCAAGAGGGAGGTGATGCATGTATAATTATGGCTGATTTGCATTGTTGTACAGCAGAAACCATCGCAACATTTTAAACCAAATTTCCTCCAATTTTAAAAAAAATTGTGGATGGGGAGAGGGATAGAGCATTAATAATAACTGAGATTGGATTTCTCAGCAGTCAATTGGGGCTAAAGTCAGATTTATTCTGATTTAGAAAATTAAAACAGGCTGATGATTTTGTAGTGAAGAATTGCGGTGGAGTAAATGTTTATACCCACTCTACATGAAAAGAAAACCCTTAGCTTAGACTGTGCTCAATAAATGGTAGCCAAATTACCATTGTTATACGTTAGGTCATTGGAAGCTCACCAGAAGAACAGAATCAGACTAATCAATAAGAAAAAGGAGAACACAAGATCCAAGGGGATTTGAGAATTCATCAGTCCGAATATGTGAAGACTACCTCCCCCAGTCTCCTGTGTCCCGCTCTGCCCAGCTCTCTGCCCACTCAGTCTTGCTCTGCCCAGCTCTCTGCCCACTCTCAGTCTGTCCTAAATTCTGTTACCTTTCTAGAGAGCCGAGACTCCTCTTGACAGCTTGAACAAGGGGGTAGGGGCCCTGGCTGCAGAATTTGCCAGTGAAGTCATCCATGTCAATAGACCAGATCATGGCCCCTCCCAGGCTTAGATTCTTTAGAAACTGAACCTGAGGGGAGCACAGAAGGGTGTCCTGAGGTTAGAAGGGGTCCTTAAAGGCCCAAGACCCAAGTCAGGGTCACAGGAGGCTTTGAGCTTAGAATGTAGCAGTAGATTTACACCTTATGGAGTCATGGATTCCCTGAAGGAAAGGGTTGCTTGGGAAGGCTTATAAAATGAAGAGAGAGCCACCCGCTATTAACCACCTCTCATGGAATAATCACATCCCAGGTCCAAAACCTAGGCCTCTAGGATGAGGAGTAGAAACTAGGAAATCACTAGCAAGATTTCAATTACCATGGGGTTGTCAATTACACTGATGCCTTTGTCCTGCTTTGCACCTGGAAAGCAAAGTTCTTAGCAACTTCTAAGAACAACCCTGTAGACTGTAGCCCGCCAAGCTCCTCTGTCCATGGGATTTTCCAGGTAAGAATACCGGAGTGGGTTGCCATTTCCTTCTCCAAAGAACTGGTAGACTCAGAAATCTGGAGCCTCGTAATCCATGAGAGAGACTGAAGGGTCTGTCCTGAGATGAACAGCCAGGTGAATGACCATTGTGTATAGACACCAATGTCTCGTTTGCTCTTTTCCCCTTCTTCTCCCTCCTCCCTTCTCTCCACTCCTTGCTTCTCCCCTTATTCTTAATTCTTTCTTGCATCTTTTCCACCTCTCCTGCATGTACGATAGGTGCTCACAGGTATGACTTAGAATCATGACTAGCTTTGCACCACAGAGGCTTCTTTCCTTCCACACAGAGTACTGTGGCATTTGATCACACACCCTATTCCCCAAGCACCGGAGTGTTCTGCTGTCCCAGAGCCTCTTGCTCTCCCAGAACCCAGACATACCTTGGTCTCCACACTCTCCACATCATCATAGCCCACCCACTGGTTCCCCTTGACTGCATAGGGAACTTGCTGATCCTGGAGCCTTGTGATCTTGGCTCCTTGTAGGAACTGGCAGATCTGGTAAGAAAAGGAGGAGCAGGAGGTTCAGTAATGGGCTCTTCTTGAAATTTATTGAGATAAAAAGGGAAGGTAAGGGTCTTGAGGACAATATCAGAATCTTTACTCCAGGAATCAATGGGAGAAATGATCAGATACAACATGCAGGATGGATGGTTCAAGGTGAAACTTTGGAAATTGTTGTTGCTAAGGCCTCATCAAGAGGAACCACAAACAGCTAGAGGGCAGACAGTACTTGAATTCCACATCAGGCCTCGGTATGGATCAGTAAATCTTCCCATGTCTTCATTTGCAAAATGGAAACAATTATAATTATGTATCTTGTATACCTACCTTACAATATTGTTAGGATCAACTGAACTAATACATGTTAGGAAAAAGAAGACAACTTTGAAAACAATAAAGTGCTTTACAGACACATAGTGTCACAATGCCCTTCACCATCAGTCCCCACCTTGTAGCTTATCCCTACTTCACCTCTCCCTCTGTCCCGTCCCCCCTCCAATGTGCCTGTGCTGGGATTCCCCTTCTATCATCAGCTATTTTTCTCGATAGCAGAAGTAAGAGCTACTAAAAAAGATAAATCTTCACTGAAAAGCGCATTTTAAAGCCACACAGAAAACTCGTTTTACTTACTCTTTTTAGATTATTTGCACTCATGTTTGCCTCGATGAGACCCCATGGACTATAACCCACCAGGCTTCTCTATCCATGGGTTTCTCCAGGCAAGAATAGTGGAGTGGGTTGCTATTTCCTTCTCTATTGCCTCAATGAAGGTGATAAATGGAAAGCTGAATATTTAAGGAAATATCAATTTGTCAAATTTATAATGATGTAGGGTGATACACTGAACAATCAAGTTAAATTTTCCTTGCAGTAGGGGAGTGTGTATCCAGTGGTATGCTCTAAAATCCTTCCAGCAGATTCTGATCACTGACCTCTCTTATTCCTTATATTAAGTGATTCAGGAGGGCTCTGATGATGACTCATACCCTTGTCAACTCAAGGGTTGTCAACTCAAGGGTTGGTTCTTTGGTCATTCCGCCATGTGAGGTGAGACGAAAAATTGAGCATTACACTCAGAGTATCTCAGTGGATGCCAAGACCCTCAGTAGGAGTTCATAGCATGCCCATGCCAGTGATGAGGGGATATACTAGGACTCCAAGGGGAAACCAAGATGTAGGATGTTATTCTTTCCTTACCTGATCAAACTCTTTCCTATCCTTCAAGATCCAGCACACACCTCTTCTCTTCTATGGAGCCTTCCGAATCACCCATTTCTGAACTCGTGGCCCTCCACATTGGCCACTTAATCATATCTTGTTTTGCAGTACCTACGTAATGTTATTTACTCTGATAGTTTTAAAACTCTTATTTAACTAGTTTCATTTGTATTCTACATTCTTTCCACCTGGACAGTAAGCCCTTTGAGACAAGGATGAAGAATGAGTTATTTCTAGCTCTCAAAGGACCCAGTCTGAGGTATGAGAGCAACCCAAGAGTTTCTGTTGGTTGAATTACTGTTTGACTCTTAGAGCTTCCTATACATTAAAAATTTTTTTTCTCCAGATTGAGGAGCAGAAAGGAAAGATGGTCTTAACAGCCAAACACCTTTGATAGTTATCTCTGTGATATTAAGTCTGTCTGACTGCGGGACAGAATCTGACATATTTGACTGCTCTTCACTTCTTTTTATTTATTTATTTTTAATTGAAAGTTAATTGCTTTACAGTATTGTGTTGGTTTCTGGCTCCTCTCTTCTTGAAACACCAACTTCTCACTCTATTCTTTGGCAGAGAACACTCTGGGTTCTGCCTGCCTTCTTGTAGATGTCAGTTTCATTAAAGTTCTCTTCTTCCTCTGCCTAACCCTTAAGTACAAGACGTCCTTGGGTTTTGTGTTTCTTGCACTTTAGCTTCACGACAGGGAGGCCTGGCGTGCTGCGATTTATGGGGTCACAACTGCGACATGACTGAGCAACTGAACTGAACTGAACTGAACCATCTTTATGCTGATAGTTTTAGAAGATACATCTCTAGCACAGGCTGGTCTCTTGTGGTCCAAAGCCACATACCTAACCACTCACTTTTTATTTATACATCCCACAGGCATTTGGATGTCCTACTTGCTCCTCAAACTCAGCATGTCCAAAACTGATCTCATGATTGGAAAAAATGCTCACTATGCTCCTTCGTATCTTCCCCAACTCAGTAAAAATGGCATTACCGTCTACTTAGTTGCCCAAGTAAAAAACGTGGAACAGTCTCCCTTTTTCAATCTCCCATACCTGTTTCACCTATCCCCATTCCCCAGTAGTTCCACCTCCTCTCCAGATTTCAGCTAATGCCACTTCCTCCAGGAAGCATTCCCTGACCCCCTCCCAAGCCAGGGTGCAGAGCTCCTCGTACATGTTCCAGTAGCACTCCATACTTTCCTTCCCAGCCCTCAGGACATGTTCCTCTATTATTGTCAGATTGAAGCTGGAATGCCTATCCAGACACAGAGGGCAGCTGAGGGCACAGGGAGGCTCCAGTACCTCATAATAAGCCAGGAAGCCTGAAGACTTGGTGATGGGGCCAGCGGCTCCAGGACCAGAGGCAGGGGCCCCCACGGCAGTTTCTGCAGAGGCCAGTGTAAAAGAACGTCCATACGTGGGGATGCCCATGACCACCTTCTCCGCAGGCATCCCCTTCTTTATCCAGTATCCCACAGCATACTCCTAGAAAGGGAAGATAGACTGAGGCCCAGCATGTATGGGAAAGAAAGCTGTCAGGCCTTACTGAGCCTCCAACCCAAATTCACAGAAGGGCCTCCATGATTCCATCTCTACATCAGTGACTATGGAAGATCCCGTTGGAACCAGAGTGTTTATTCTAATGCTGTTAATGCTCTTCAGCACCAAGTGACTAAGTCAGCTTTTACTAATCATGAAAGAAAACTGAACAATGAATCAGAAAAGAAATCAGGCAAGTGACCTAGAAAACATGAAATCAAGGTTGTCACCATCTATCTTTCCCCTTTGAGTCAACTATGTATGGAATTTGTCTACACTATGACTGGTTGTGTTACTGAAGAAGGTGACGGGGGTTGTGGCCATTAGACCCTAGCCTGTGAGGCCTCACAATGACATCAGGTCCAAGAGGCAAGAGAAGAGGTAAGAGGCTAGTTTGGGCCTTACTGGCTTCCAGAACAGAATAAGGGGTTACAGAAGATGAGGGTATGTCTCCTCATCCTTAAAAATTGTTGAGAGAGAGGAAAGAATGAAGTGGGCTGGTTTGATGTGACTTGATGATATGGTGTTCTAGAAAACCCCAGACTAGAAATCAGTATACCCAGCTTGGACTGATCCATTTTGTAATTTTAAATATGAAGGCTTGGAAATATACAACCCAGACATTTCTTCCAGCCCAATTTTAGGAATACATCCACATGTACCATGACTACAACAAAACTGTTTTGTTAATGACTTTTTTTCCTTGGATTTTCCATTTTCTACCACTTTTCAGGATATTCACATCAGCAAGAACTTGAAGAGCCAATTAATTTGCCAGGTTTTCATTTCATCATCTATGAAGTGAAAGTAATGCTTCCTGACCAGCCAACCTCAGATTATTTTGAAGATCAAATTAAATAGGGAATGTGGGCACATACAGGAGAGTACTAAGTTCTGTACCTCCATGTGGGTTTCAGGAAATGTATCGAGGATGGAGAATTAAGAGAAGACTGGTGTGACTGACACCTTGAGTCAGAGAAAAGTTTAGGACATTTCAGTTACAAAGTCCTCTGACATTTTCTAGGTGACATTTTACTGTGCCTGGTCCAAGCATTTTCCCTGTTCTCACCAGCTTCCTGGGTTATCTGAGTCCCTCTTGGGCAACGCATCTCCCCCTCAGTTTGAGATAGAATTAACTCTAGATGACCTGCACTGTCCTCAGCTCCTCCCACAGCCAGTGTACCCACCACTCTTTCTCCCTAAGACTCACCACATTGTAGTAGGAGCTTGTCTGTCTGTCCAGCTGCCCCTTTCTCAGGGGGCTGTTGTGGCCAGTGACAAGGGGCTTTTCCCAAGACCCATGGAAGTCAAAAGACAGGAGGTTGATGAAATCCAGGTCTCTAGATTGCCAAAAGCAAAAGAAGAGATTCTGTGATGAGCAGAGGTAGAAGCAACTACAGTCGAGCCTTGAACATTGCACGTTTGAGCTGCAAAGTCCACTTTTATACTGCAGAACAGTAAATACTATGGAACCACATGGTCTGGCGTTGGCTGAATCCACAGATGAGGAGGATACAAAGGGCTGACTGTAAATTACACATGGATTAGCCCTTGCTTTGTTCAAGGGTCAACTGTACACATATTCATGTAGAGCTTTGGATGCTGTTAGAAGGATTGAAATTAGCCATAAAGGAGAAGTTCCTGGCTGCATGATGTTGTTAGGATAGTGACTTCATGCTTTCCCTTCTCCCTTCATCCCTCAGACATATTGACACACATCACTTGAGTGGACCAGGCTGACAGCAGAGAGATGGAGGGGGTGATCCAGTGTACTTACTTTGCCAATTCCTTGATCTGATAGCTGTTGTCAATCATCTGCCTCCCTGCAGAAACTCCTGCAGTCAAGAGAAGCCTTTCTTTGGTGGATTTTACAAAGTCCTGCTGAAAAGCTTCTGCTAACTTCTGTGAAAAACAAAAAGCCCACAAGAAGTGAGTTCTCCCTCCCAGAGCACAGACCTAAGATTCTTACCTGATTTGAAATTTCTAGAACCACATTAGATGGAAAGATCAAAACTTTTCTCTCCATTCCCATATGGGGATGCTCTTTCCTCAAGCTCAGGAATGTACACATTACGCAGGAGGACCACCAGTCTCACTGTACTCAAGAAGAACTATCTGGGTTTCCTCCTAGTAGATTCTCTGATCTATGTGATAGAACTTTATGAGACTATTCCAGCGCTCAGGAGAGTCTATGGCCCTATACTCTTTTACATGGATGTTGCTTCGTTTCGGTGTTGTTTATTCTACAAAGAGGCTCTGTTCTTTGATGTTGTCCTTGCACTAAACTAGGTTCAAGGGCTTTTCCTTCATGAGTTGGGGCTTCTGGAAGGAAGAGACTATCTTCCAACAAGAGCCAGTCTCTTCATTTTTTTCTCCTGGTATGGCCATGGGTTTCACATAAGGGTAACATGGAGTTTGCCTTACATGAATCAGCACAGTGAAATGAGTGTTGTCTTTTACATTTGGGTAGATCCAACTTATGTCCAGTCCATCAAAGTTATGATTCCTCAGAAATAGGATTACAGAGTTGACAAATTTCAAGGTTGATGAAGAAGATTCAACCATGGGATGGAACCTGGGTAGAAGCAAGACAGATGTTTCTTGGAAAGAAGTAGACATAACACAACACATTTTTTTTTTTTTTACAGAAATCCTGATATCGTCTTCCTTTCCCCAATATTTTCTCACTATTTTTCTATCCCAACCCCTGCCTCTTTTGGAACAAATGGGGAGAGAAAGGATTGCTGGGCCAGAAAATCAGTGGAGTTGGGTAGAGGAAGACTGGGTTTTCTGCAGCCCTTTCTGCAGGAATATGGAGCTGCCTATGGCAGAGACTCTCCTTGACCAAACTTTAGTCATTTGGTAGCTAAGTCATGTCCAACTCTTTGCGCCTCTGTGGACTATAGTCTACCAGGATCCTCTGTCCATAGGATTCCTAGGCAAGAATATTGGGGTGGTTGCCATTTCCTTCTCCAGGGGATCTTTATGACCTAGGGATCAAACCCGTATCTCCTGCATTGGCAGGTGGATTCTTGACCATAGCCTCTAAGGAAGCCCAAACTTTAGTCCAAGTCCCCTGAATTCTCTTCTCAACTTGGCCTTGACCTTGGGCTTCTGTCTATCTTTGCAGAATCCTAAATCAGCTTAATGAGAATCCCTCACCCTTGGTATCAGATCACCCTCAATATTATCCTCATCCCCTACCATCCCCCAGGTGATATCTTATCATCCTGATCTGCCTTCAGCAAGAGTTCTGTTGAGTCACTTTAGCAAGAATCTCCCTAGCCCTAATGTTTCCTCTTAGTAATTTTCCATCCACTGACCCCTACCCACAACCTGCTTCTTGGCTATAATCCACTTTTGCCTCTGCTGTATCCAGCATTGAGTCCAGTACTATCCTGAGGTCTCCTTTCCCCTATTACAATACTTCTTGAATAAAATCTGTTTTTCCCTCTTTAATTACTATCCACCTCTGACTTTCTTTAACATTGTATACCACTGAAAAAGCGATTTGCAGTGTGATGGGCTGAGGGTCAAGAGATCTGGATTTGAGTCCCAGGTCAGAGTCCTTTCTAGTGACCTCTTTGTCACCAACTAGCTCTCTGGGTTCAGTCTGGCCCATCTTTAAAATAGGCCTGAAGACACTGATCCTGCCTCATCTATCTCAAAGTGACCACATTTTGGAAAGCTTCCTTAAAGGAGAGCTGGACTTCATAGGAACTTCTCTTTCCCCACACAAGCAACCCAGTCCTGAACAAGCAACCCAGGTCTCCGCAGTCCCTTCTCATGAAAAACCAGGAGGACCCTGAGCCAAAGCAACCCTCAAGGGCTTTCATCTGATCTAGAATTCTTAATCCAGGAAATTGACTCTGAGCTGCCCATGCAGGGGGCCTGTGCTCCACAACAAGATTTAAAATCCAAATCTGTAGACAAGATATCAGTATTTTCCAGAGGACGTATCCTTTGACTTGTATCACCTCCCGCCTCTCGCAATACCTCCCATCCCAGACAGATTCAGAGTCTTGAATTCATTTGTTTCAATCAATATTAAATTGAGGATTTGCCTCTATGTTATAGCTTATACAAGGGACTTAAAAAATTAAACAAACAAATGTATGCAACAAAAGAGAAAGAGACTCACAGATGTAGAGAACAAAATAGTGGTTACCAGCGGGGAAAGGGAAGGGTAGAGAGGTTACATAAAGGTATGGGATTAAGAGACATAAACTACTATGTATAAAATAAATAAAGATATTATTAAACAGTACAAGAAAAAGTAGCCATTATTTAAATGGAGTATAACCTGTAAAAATATTGACTCACTATGTTGTATGCCTGAAGCTAATATAATATTGTAACTGTACTCCCATAAAATTTTTTTTTAAAAATGAGGATTTTATTCCTATATATATCTCAGCAGCACAGTGGAGGAAATAGCAAAACCAGGCCTATTAGCTGAAAACCAATGGTAGAAGTAGGTTTGTAACTTTTCTCTTGTATTTCAAAAGTGTTCACAGTGATTAGAAGAAAAGCAAGAGATACCCCTTTTAGAGAGCAGTTGCATCTGATGCTCTGATCAGAGGTGCTCTGATGCTCTAGGCAGAAGCCTCCAGTTTTAGGAAAGACAGCCATTCAACAGAGAAGCAAGTCTGTGTGGTACAAATTTTTAAGCACTGCTGCATGGCATCTGGCACAAAGACTGGCATTTATTTAATAATAGTGACAAACTTAACAAATAACAATAATTATTGCAACCACTGGGCCCTTATTGCACATCAGCACTGCCTAAATAGTTTGTTCGTATTGCCTGCCCTCACAACTTTATCTTTAAGTTGATTCTGTTATTTTCTTCATTGTGAATTTTTTTAGAAAATGAAGCATAGTGACATTATAAAATTGCTTTTAAAAAAAGAGAAGAAATTGCCTAAAGTCAAACAACTTGCATACAGCTTGCATATAGCTAAAGAGAAATCCAAACCAAATTTTTTAATCTCCAGAGTCCTAAACTAAACTAATATACAAGAAGTACTTAACAAATTACTTATTGAAAAATGAATGCATGCATGTAAGAATGAATGAATGAAGATATTTTTAATTGAATCAAGGATAAGCAAGTATTATGAATGAGAGAGAATTTGGGAATCAGAAGGACAGTTACCATGAAAACCCATTAAAAGCTGACCAGAGATCATGATGAGGTTAATGTAGAACCAAATAAGTTAGATGGGTTGATCTTTTTTCTGTCTGTGTTTAGAAATTGTGTTGCTAAGTATTTTATAAGTTTTGAACTGGTAAAGACTTTAAAAATTAATTAGGTCAATCCTATTATTTCATAGGTGAATGTATTCAGGATAAAAGAAGAAGAGAAAGGAAGGAAAAGTTGGCATTAGTTAACTGAATGATAACTAAGGCAGGCACACGACATGCATTACCTCATTCACAATCTTTGCCCGCACCTTATGAAATAGATGTTGTGATGTACATTTTACAGATGGGTAAACTGAGCTCAGAGAGGTATGTTAACTTCCCCTAGGTAACTCATCTACATAGGTCTTTTAATGTTACTTCTTTCCCCTGCTTACTCCCACTAGAGAGAATACTGACCAGCTGCACAAAAAAGATGTCTTATCAGATTTCTTGCAAAAGCTGAAAACCTCTGCTGGCTAAGACTAAGATCTCTCAGCTTTTTAAAATGCTAGCACTTAAAAAAAAATTAAAGCAGAAGGAATTCAAAGTTAGATTAACTGTATTTGAAGATTGCAAAAAGATGCCTTTCTTCTCTACAGATTTGTGTTTATTTAGCTCTTGATGCAAATGGAGTATCATTTTCCTGTGAATGGAAGCATAATTTGTCATATATGTTTCAAATTAATAGCTATTCTGCTTTTAAGCAAGAGGAACCCAATTGTCCCTATGCTCTGCACTTTCAGGCCATCCAGCTACACAGCCATGGCCCAGGAAACTATGGTTCCCTGACAGCTGCTGGTCAAGGACTTGGTTTTAGGAAAGCACTCACCTGACCCCCACTCAATGTGAAAGGCAAGCCCTCAAATCCCTTAAACCCTTAAAAAATTAAATTTCACAACTAAAACCGTCTCCCCATAGTCCATCAGGTGAATTACTCCCAGCTCAGTTTCTTAAGCTCCCGCAGAGTTCCTTCCAAGATGTCAGAAAACATAGGGCTATGCCTCAACTTGTGACAAAATTCAGATCAGTTTTGCCATCTAAGCCAAGGAAGGACCTTTCTAAAGCCCAATTCAACGTCTCTTTTCAAGAGTAGGAGAAGCAGTGACAATTAGAAATTACCCGTACCATGACTTTCCTGGTGCTCCAGTGGTTAAGAATCTGCCTGCCAAGGCAAGTGATGCTGGTTTGATCCTTGGTCTGAGGAACTAAGCTGCCACATGCCATGGGGCAGTGAAGCCCGAGTACCACAGCTGCTGAGTCCACATGCCGCAACTGCTGATGCCTGTGTGCTCTGGCCCGTGCTCCACAGAGAGAAGCCACCACAATGAGAAGCCTAGGCACCCCTGCTCACCACAATTAGAGAAAGCCTGTGCGTAGCTACAAAGACCCAGGACACCACCCCCCAAACAAGGAAAACAGAGAAGAAATTACATGGCAGAATGAACAAAAAATAAAGAGACTGTGATCTTACCCTTTGGAACCAAACAGGTACCCTCCAATGGACAAGAGAATTTTCAGTTTGGGATTCCTGGAATAGAAAAATAAGCTGATCATTTCTTTGCTGGCTGCCAGGGAAAACTTTGCCTACAGAGTTAGGGCTAGAATAAATGGGCCCTGGCTGCTTAGCAGCTAAGTTTAGTGAAAGGATGAGGCAGAGGGAAGAAGAACAGGAAGGATCGGGGTTATACCCAAGGAAATACACATGAATAAATGCACAAATGAGTAAAAAGAGACAGAAGGCCTTAGGCCCAGTTTAGAGCTATCTTCTCTCCCCCAAAACCCACCCTGGATGCTCCCTACTCCTCTCCTACTGACTTGGTTTTGAAATTGTTGATGGTCTGGTAAAGCTTCGCCTTATTCTTGTCCTTGATGATGACCTTGTTGTTACTGATGCTGGCGAATGAGTAAATAAGGTGAGAACATAGGAAGGGGTCAGTGCTTTCAAAGGTGAACTTCCCTGGTTCTTGCCTGTCTTGTGACCAGTTGGTAAAGTAGCAAACCAGTTTGTAGGCAGATCCTGGAGGAGAGGAAAGAGGGACAATGGGGAACCCAGTGTGATGACCTCAGAGCCTAGACTGCCACAAGTTTCTTACCCAAGCTATTGCCTCCTTTACTTATTCAGTCAGAGCCTCTGAGGGTCATTCAGCCTGGGCCCTCCGTTTTGGAGTCTCTTGAGCATCCAGACTCCAGTTAAGAGACACATTGAAAGACATATATATCATCCACATGGCAACATTCCCAGAGCACTGAGATTTAGTGTGGATGGATAGATGGATAACACAGTGATACAAGTGGACAGAGAGATGATACATAATACTGAGGTCAGTGAGAGACAGAGAGACAGGTTCAAATGACAGAAGCAGAGCCATGGATGCACAAAGAGATACACAGAATTAAAAACTCGGAGTCATCAATATGTTAATGTCAGAACCTGGGAGTGTCAGGAGAAGAGAAGTAGACCCAACATCAGAAAGGACACCGCCCAGGGGACCCAGGAAGCAGTAATTCACAGACTACTTACCTTCCTGAAGAAGCAGCAAGACCACTAAACCTGTAAGAGGTGGACAGGAAGGAAATTTGTTGAGCCCAACATGCTTCTCGCCTCAGACTGTGCTAGTGAGTGTGTGGGTGTGCCTACGTGAAACATATAGTTGTGCTTCCTCTGAGCAATCCAACCACAGCTGCTGAGGTCCTTCTATAGCACTTTGAGGTACCCAGCCCTTGGGTGTCTTGCAGAGTCTACAGCCCTACAGAGAAATATTTTCCAAGCTGGGAATTCATTCGCCCATTCATTCATCCAACAAAAATTTATCGAACCACCTGCTCTGTGCCAAGTGTTGCCCTGGATACTGTCCAGTCAGACTCTTTGGAAAGTAAAAAGGAGCATTATTAATCATTTCCCTGTGGGCAACTGTGTGGACGAACTCTCCTGGGTGAACTGAGATGAATAGTCACCCTGTGTACAGACAGCTAACTCTTAAGGTGAATGGAGGAGCGTGAGCTGGCTCTGGTAGTGCTCTAAGCCTTCCTGTTTGAGGTCCTGTCCAGCCTCTTCTCCAAAGACACCTCCCCTGGAAGGACTGGTAAGACCATCATAGCCTTCATTTATTCAGTTGAAGGAAAGGAGAGGGCAGGACTCTGGTCCTGGAAACCTCACCCAAAAGGCAAGAGTCCTTGAACTATGACCCCTTCCCTGGGGACATTGTCTAGAATTACCCACACTAGGACTTTTGAAGGGTTTGAAAATTGAGGGAAAGGCAGTTAAAAATGAAATGAATGGAAGAGATATTTGGCAGTGACATGACATTTGGCATATAATATGCCGAATGCTGCTTGGCATATTATAGTCTAGGGGTAGGTCTTAAAGAACATAAAAAATTCATAGACAGGACTTCCCTGGTGGTCCAATGGTTAAGAAACTGGCTGCCAATGCAGGGGACAAGGGTTCAATCCCTGGTCTGGGAAGATCCCACAAACCACCAAGCAACAAAGCCCATGTGCCGCAACCACTGAGTCCGTGCGCTAAAGCCTGTGCTCTGCAACAGGAGAAACCACCACGATGAGAAGCCTATGCACCCCAACTACAGAGCAACCCCTGGTTACCGCAACTAGAGAAAGCCCACCCAGAGCAACGAAGACCTAGCACAGCCAAAAATAAATAAATAAACCTTGAAAAAAAATGAGATGAAACTTTGGGTGACAGCTGCTGAAGTGGGTGCCTTCCTCACAGAGCTTGGGTCTGGGGAAGTGAACTCTAGCGTTCTGTCCTGCTGATTCATGTCACTGTTAGGCAGAGCAGGTAGGGATCTGGTTCTCCGCACACCCACTAAGAAGGTAGGAGAATGCTCATTGCCTCATCTGCGGTCAGGTTGGCCTCCAGGCCCTTTTCAAAAGGCAGGCTCCCTGTGGGCTGCTCCCCCAAGGACTCAAGGCCAAGAACCTCAACAGGAAACTCAAAATGCTCTTGCCATTTCCAAGTGGGTAGGCGTGGCTCGAGAGCATAGACAAGCAGGAAGAGGTAAAGACATGATGAAATGGCTCCTTTTCCTCCATAAGGTACACTCTGTCTCCTCCCGGCACAGTTCTCTTCTTCACCCATAGCCCTATGTATTTAATCTCATCCCCACCTTTATCCAATTTCCCAGCCACCACCAAAGTCAGAGTTTTGGATCAGAACTTTAGAACTGAAAGATGGTTTTAAAAAGCATCTACCAGTGAATAATTCTGCAGACAAGAAATATGAGGTCTCCATAGTTTTAAAATGTGCAGAAAGTATAGTCCATGAATCATGGGATTCCCAGGACAGTGCTCGTACCTCACCATCTGGACAAGAGACACCTCTGTGCAAATGCATACAGACTGACAACACCCATGATGGGCTGAAGGTCTTTGGCCACTGCTGCTCCCTTGCCCATCTGGGAAAGATCAGATGGTCCCTGAAGCAGTTGTCTTGGCTCAATAAGTATTGGTAAGGAGGTGAGCAGAGAGACTGGAGTCCCAGAAGACGGCCACTTCTTCTATTGGTCTAAGTTATCTAGGTTATACCTTCTCTCCTCATTAACCTCCTGCTACATTATCAGCCCAGAGCTCACCTTCCCAGAAAGACTTCTGATCCATGGTGCTCACTCCCATATCCCTGGTCAGTTTCTCTGGGATGCCCATACTCTGGGCCTTTTATGCCTCTGAGTTTTCGACAGCCTCTCTTATGGGAAGGAAGCAAGAAGAAGTCCAGGAGATTCCAGGGACTTTCCCTGCAAATCTGCCTTGTGAAACTTCCTGGCAATGAGACTCAGGTTTGAGCAATGCCAATTGTCCAAAAAAAATGCTGCAGTGGGGACGACCACTGAGAGGTCCTTTTCCTCCAGTCTCCCCTGCAAGGTATGTGGTCCCTGGGAAGGGAAGGAGATGGTACTTTGGTTTGCCTCCTTGTACTGCTTTTTGGCTCCCAAATCTTGCTACCCCTTCATCCAGGATCTGTCTCCTTCTTCCTCCCCTCACCTCCCTCCACACTCACATCACCAGTGGCATACTTAAGTTTGGTCATCATCCCAGTTAGTTCTACCCTAGCAGCTCTTATTCACATCACCCAGTGAGGCCTTCTCTGTGGACCCTTCTTGCCCCTCCCTGAGCCCAGGGAAGCTGGCTCCTCTGCTCACAGTGCAATGTACTTCTTCTCATGTCTCCATACTGTACTGTAATGCCCTGGTGTACATGTCTATCTCCCCAGTTTGACTGTGCAGTTCTTAAGTACAAGAATTAAGTGAGACAAGAAAAATGAAAACCTCAATAAGTATTGATTGAGGAACTGCCATTAACTTGTTAGAACTGAATTGCACCCCAGATTCTAAGGTGCAGGCTCTCAAGGCCCTATGCCATCTGCTCCCTGCCTTCCTCTCCCACCTCCTGGTTTTCTCTATGGATGTGTCTGCATCTCCCACTTTTCCTGTCCCTGTTCTCTCACTCTGTCTTAGTCCCAGGAGGCTTCTCTCCAGCCTTGAGCCTGTTGCTTTTCACATATCAGATGTGGGTCACGTGGAAAAGAAAAATGGGCTAGATCCACTTAAAATTCTGCCCAAGGGAGAGCAACAGGACCCCAACAGAGAAAGTCTGCTATTTGGAGGGACATACCTGAAAAGCTGGGGCAGATGGGAAGCAGCACCTGAAGGAAAATGCACAAATTCTCTGAGTTCAGTTCAATCTCTCAGTCATGTCTGACTCTCAGGAGGGATAAATGTCGGCTTCAAACATCTGCTGGGTCCTGGAGGCATGATGCCCTCTTAAGCCCACTCCAGTTAAGTGATAACTATCCTATCTCTTGCCACTCTTCTCCCTCCCCTACCTCTGACTAATGCTGGTTTAGAAATCATAATAGCAAGTTGGAAAAAGACAGGGCAGAAGAGTAGACCAAGAAAAGAGAAAAGGAAGGTGAGTTTAAGCAGCATCCCATAGCAGGCTGGGCTGGGGAATAGGATCAAATTCAACATTCAATCAAGCCTGGAGTCTTGGTTATTGTCAATTACAAATTGGTGCTTGTCAAGGGCATTTGCCAATGACTGAACAAAAACAAGGGTGTTTGCCGTCTGCCTCTGCAGAGATTGAACCCTGTGCCGCTGCAGCTGGTGACCTTCAGCACGCCCAGAGGAAGCCCAGGGTGGAGAATGAGGCACTCTGTGCTCCAGGGAAACTGGTAGAACAGGTTTTTTGATAGCTGTTTTCAGAAACTGATTTCGTGATCCCAATCCTTGCGACTCCTCGTATCTAGAAAAGCACTAAATTCCTTATAGTGATATCAGCTCTTCATGACTACCAGAAAACCTTTTACAAATTAAGCACTTGCTTGCGTTGAACTCCCCCTTCGCTAGAATCATATATATTGAACTTCCCCCACTACATCTTTGCAGCAGTCTCTCAGAGCTATCTGAGGTTCCGTCTCCCAGGCTGCACTCCTCATTTTCCCTCAAGTAAAACTTAAGTCACAGCTCTCAGGTTGCGCATCTCTTTTTAGGTGACATTACCATCTGGGACTGGCTAGTAAACTGAACTGGGTTTGCAACTTAGTGGCTATAGAACTTTTATTATCTACAAGTCAGGAGAAAAATCCAGGAAGAGGAGAGAACCATCCCCACTGAGAAGTAAACTTAAAGGGAACAGAACAAAATGTAAAGTTGCTTTGATGATTCTAGTAAGTCCTGCTAGTTCAGCCATTCTGGTTCACATCTTAAGAAATCTACTGTGTGGGTGCATAAGTGCTCAGTCGTGTCTGACTCTTTGAGACCACATACACTGTAGCTCAGCAGGCTCCTCTGTTCCTGGGATTTCCCAGGCAAGAATATTGGAGTAGGTTGCTATTTACTCCTCCAGGGGAATCTTCCTGACTGAGGGATGCTTGAACTCACATCTCCAGCATCTTCTGAATTGGCAGGCAGATTTTTTTTTTTTTTACCACTGAGCCAAGAAATCTAGAGTTATATCTAAATAGAAGCATAAAATACTCATTTTCTTTACTTTTTTCCCACTTAATATATTTAGATATAGCAAGGAGAGATAATTTCTTATCTTCCTAAGTGAACAATGCAAAGAAATAGAGGAAAACAGTAGAATGGGAAAGACTAGAGATCTCTTCAAGAAAATTAAAGATACCAAGGGAACATTTCATGCAAAAATGGACAGAAATGGTATAGACCTAACAGAAGCAGAAGATATTAAGAAGAGGCGGCAAGAATACACAGAAGAACAATACAAAAAAGGTCTTAATGACCCAGATAACCACAATGGTGTGATCACTCACCTAGAGCCAGACATCCTGGAGACCGAAGTCAAGTGGACCTTAGGAAGCATCACTACAAGCAAAGCTAGTGGAGATGATAGAATTCCAGCTGAGCTATTTCAAATCCTAAAAGATGATGCTGTTAAAGTGCTGTACTCAATATGCCAGCAAATTTGGAAAACTCAGCAGTGGCCACAGGACTGGAAAAGATCAGTTTTCATTCCAATCCCAAAGAAAGCCAATGCCAAAGAATATTCAAACTACTACACAATTGCAGTTATTTCACATTCTAGCAAGGTAATGCTCAAAATCCTCCAAGCAAGGCTTCAACAATACGTGAACCATGAACTTTCGGATATACTAGCTGGATTTGAAAAGGCAGAGGAACCAGAGATCAAACTGTCGGCATTCACTGGGCCATAGAAAAAGCTTGAGAGTTCCAGAAAAACATCTACTTCTGTTTCATTGATTATGCTAAAGCCTTTGACTGTGTGGATCACAACAAACTGTGGGAAATTCTTAAAGAGATGGGGATGCCAGACCACCTTACATGCATGCTGAAAAACCTGTATGCAGGTCAAGAAGCAATAGTTAAAACTGGACATGGAAAAGTGGGCAAGTGCAAAACTGGGAAAGGAGTACATCAAGACTACATATTGTCACCTTGCTTATTTAACTTATATGCAGTGTATATCATGCGAAATGCAGGGCTGGATGAAGCACAACCTGGAACCAAGATTGCCAGGAGAAATATCAATAGCCTCAGATATGCAGATGACACCACACTTATGGCAGAAAGTGAAGAGGAACCAAAGAGCCTCTTAATAAATGTGAAAGAGAAGAGTGAAAAAGTTGGCTTAAAATTCAACATTCAAAAAACTAAGATCATGGCATCTGGTCCCATCACTTCATGGAAAATAGATGGGGAAACAGTGGAAACAGTGACAGGCTTTATTTTGGGGGGCTCCAAAATCACTGCAAATGATGACTACAGCCGTGAAATTAAAAGATGCTTGCTCCTTGAAAGAAAAGCTATGACCAACCTAGGCAGCATATTAAAAAGCAGAGACATTACTTTGCGACAGAAGTCCATGTAGTCAAAGCTATGGTTTTTCCAGTAGTCACGTATGGATGTGAGAGTTGTCCATAAAGAAGGTTGAGAGCCGAAAAATTCATGTTTTGGAACTGTGATGTTGGAGAAGACTCTTGAAAGTCCCTTGGACTGCAAGGAGATCAAACCAGTCAATCTTAAAGGAAATCAACCCTGAATGTTCATTGGAAGGACTGATGCTGAAGCCGAAACTCCAATACTTTGGCCACCTGATGTGAAGAAATGACTCATTGGAAAAGACCCTGATGCTGGGAAACACTGAAGGCAGGAGGAGAAGGGGACGACAGAGAATGAAATGATTGGATGGTATCACTGACTTGACGGACATGAATTTGAGCAAGTTCCCGGAGCTGGTGATGGACAGGGAAGCCTGGCGTGCTGCAGTCCATGTTGCAGAGTCGGACACAACTGAGCAAATGAACAATAACAATACACTTAGATACCTTTCCAAATCAGCCCCTGTCTAACTCAGTCTTTTTTTTACCAACTTCATTGCAATCCTTTGTATGACTATACCTTTATTTACTTACTCATTTCCTATTGACAGGCATTTAACTTATCTCTAGATATTTTTGTTATTTAAAATAAAGCTAAAATGAGCATCCTTGAAAATATTTACTCGTTATATGTGCAGGAGTCTATCTATAGGAGAAATCCTTAGCAGTAGAATTGATAGGTCAAAGGGTATTTGAATTTTTAAATTTTGAGAACTATTGTAAAACTGCCTTCCAAAGAGTTTCCATTTCTCTCAACTTGTTATGTCTGCCAATTTCACAGTTGACAGTATTACCTCACTGTTTTAATTTACATTCTTTTAAATGAGTATTACTGTTTATATTAGCAATCATTTACATTTCATTATCAGAGCACTGCCTTCATATTTTTTGTTCACTTTTCTATTGGATACTTGTTTATTTGAAAGACTTCTACACAATGATTAAATTAACCCTGACTTATATATAAGATGTATTAGGGCTTTGTCAAATATGTTGTAAATGTATTTTCTCAGTTTTTTGTTTGTGGTGCTTTTCACATAGTATTTTTTTATTTTTATGTAATTAAAACTAATCTTTTTTTTTTTAAAGTGAGTTCTGGCTATGGTATCTTGCTTAAGAAAACAGGCCTTTTTAACCCAAGATTATATTTTTAAAAGTTACTTATATTTTCTTCTAACATTCTGTGATTTACTTTTTACATTTTTGATCTATGTGAGGTTAATTTTTTTTTAATGCATGTAGATCCAGGTTTTTTCTC